CCAAAGAAAGCAATTGGAAAACCATTCAATGGTATGAAAATGTAAGGTCCTACTATTATGAACACCCCAAAACAACCAGAAGTGTGGAGGGGAGAACCAAGTAACAAACTAAATAAAAGCAATCAAGATGCTGTCTTCTCTAGGCCATCAGTCATTACGAGATCCTTGAGCTTTATGACTCCATTTACTAGAAGAGATATTTGTCAGTCTTTCCATTTTGGGTTGTATTAGCTATATAGTAATTGACATGAATAAACAATAGTTTTAATAGTGCTAACTACATCTACTAACATAATATATTTTAGGTCATCAATAGCACACTTATTTCCCAAAAGGATTTATCAATTTACAATAAAGAACACAAATGTGGATAAGGTTGGTGAAAGAAAAATAAAATAGAAATAAGGAATAGGAATCTGAAATACTAGAGAAAGACAAACATATACCTTAGCTTCATTAAATTTTGTACTAACTTCTTAGGCAATGTTCAAAGAGCACCAGAGTAGGAGTTTGACATTGCTTATTTTCTTAACTTACCTACCCGGTGGTTTGCACGTTAAGACTTATTTTATTACTTAATTTATTATTCTACCCATGACACTTGTCTACAAGTAAATTATCTAGTTTTCTTTAAGTTTAACTCTCTCAAGCTTCCCCTGGGAGATGCTTACAAACTCGTTCCATTTTAACACCAACTAAAAATTATTTCAGGAAAAGCCGATTTGCTTTTTTTCTTTTTTAATTTTAAAAACATAAATATACAACCAACATTATATTTAAATGCCTTTCTGGAACCACTTTATCTTTGATTATTTGGTGGGGAGAATAACAAATTAATTTCATGTAGTCTATTGTATTTTATAACCAAACTTTCCTTATTTCATATGCACAAGCGTGCATGTGTACACGTATATATATAAATATATACATTATATTTAAATGCCTTTCTGGAACCACTTTATCTTTGATTATTTGGTGGGGAGAATAACAAATTAATTTCATGTAGTCTATTGTATTTTATAACCAAACTTTCCTTATTTCATATGCACAAGCGTGCATGTGTACACGTATATATGTATATATTATTTTCAGAGCTAACATAAATCTTAAATAGGACCATGATTCTATTCCTATAGACAATCTCTCAAATAAGTAATATGCTATTTGGATATGGGACTAGAAATCCTGAAACAATGTCATGATGGCAGGACCATGAGGTTTATAAGTCAAAACAATAACAATAATTATCCAAGAGGTCCTAAATAAAGAAAAGTTGAGTTGCCATCCGCAATTAAATTCTATTAAAATAATCAGTATTAGGCATCACAGATTTAGGAACCATTTATTGGAGAAATGTGTGGACTAGAAAAAAAATTATCTTTAATTTTCCTTGAGAAATCATAGATCATCTATTTAATCAGCTTATTGTATAACTGCTCCCCAGGACTCCTTCATGATTTCTGTGAAGTCTACCCTTTTCCACCTGTCAATCCCACACATAGAATATACACCAAAACATAAATATTCATACCCTTACATCCAGCTCTGTCAAAATCACCATCAGCTCCATCTAGTAAATAGCTAACCAGTTATAAAAACAATGAGCCATATTCATTTTGGATGCTTTTGGAACAAAAGAAGTTGTGAATTGAGTGTCATACTTGCTCACTATTTGAAGATGGGATATATCCACTTTATCTTGGTTAATGGTGACAGTCTGGAGATTTCATTCCTGAAATACTGTGTGGGTTGGAACTCAGCTAAGCAACCTTAGCTGCTTGCAAACTTAAAAATCCTGCAATATTAAATGACCAAAATGCCACCATAGTAATTTTTCTTCAGTTGAATTGATCACTTTTTTACTAGCAAGCAGAAAATTTACAAGGTCCTGATTATTAATAAATGTAGTATGATTTTAGCACCAGTGTAGCAAGCACAGTGAGAATCCAGTAATCAGAACTACTAGGCTCAGGGGAGAGAAAGCAAGTGATATGCTATCGCATGGCTCAGCAATGAAAATCTTTAATGGATCAAGGAGGGTTCTTATAGTTCTTGGGACAGTCCCAAAAAGTTGATTTGTAATCTGCATTTTAAAATAAGAAAATTAACTTTTTAATTTGAAAATGTAAACCAAAATAATTTTATGTTCCCCCTGGGACTCGGCATTTTATACTAAAATTAAATGAAAGCTCGAATTTATGTTTAAAAACCATGCAAAGCTAAAGAGAAAAAGAATAACCAGTTGTCAGAGTAAAAAGTTGTAACTATTAACTTCATCTAAAGCAAACATCGGACTAATGGAACATTCAGGGTCTTTATTCACCCTTACTAGGAAATTCAGTACCCAGAGTACATATCTCAGTATTTATTTCTACATTGCAGAATAAGCCATATGCTAAGGACTTTGTATCTTTTATGCTCTTTTTATCTGCAGAGTTAGAATTATCTAACATAGATAATAACAGAAGCAATACAAACAATTTTTTAATCAGATTTTATATTTGCTTACCTTAATATTGTCATAATGGGGTTTTGGACTATTTTTATTTAAAAATTGAAGCCATGGTGACCTCCTAACCACTATATATAAGAAGTTGTATATTTATCTTTTAAAATGCTCTTCCTCTTTATATTCTTTATATTGAAAATTACTGAACAAGGGCAGTGAGTAAGTAATATAAGCAGAATAGAAGGTTTGTAAAGTTATCTGTATGGTGAGAAGACCAGACTAGCTTTTGAAAACATGCCAAATCTGGGGGCTATGGCTTTGTTTTCATTTCGCTTTCGCCTTAGGAGAAAATGTGAAAAGCATAAAGTACAGTCAACTTTGCATCATTGGTATAGCTTATTGTGTAATTATATTAAGCTATAAATGGCATGTAGTGAAGACAGACTTTTGGAGGCAGGAATGTTAAGCTGGAGACATAAAGGAGGTGCCACTTATTTAAGTCAGATATTTGGGTATCGGTTTACAGACAATGTAAACAAGTGACGTAGCCCATAGAACAGTTGGGAAGATCCAGATGATGAATTTGAAAAGGTTTTGCAAACTGTAAAACACCATGTATATATGCCGCTGTTATCAACTTTCTACTTGTTCTTTTCATAGTAACAAAATTATTTCTTGATAGACTATAGATTTATTTCTGTAGTAGAATCTGCCATGTATTTTGGATAGACGAGGGTAAGATTTTATGAATTGCCACAAGATGTCATAGACTCATTTGCATTTTTGGTGATTCTACACATTAATCACTAAGTAACCTTCAGTTTTCCAAATAGAGAATAAAGAGAATGGTGATGACATTTGTAATCATCCACAGAAGGGGAATTATTTAAATTCTTCACAGATGGAGAGATATCAAGGGTAAATCATTATAGCCACATTTTTAATTTTAAGAAGCTTTGAGGGTGTTTGTGGATAGTGAGGAGCAAACATTGTTTTGCATATGGAATTAATCATAAACTTTCCATACCACAAGCCCAGATTCTCCAGATGACTATGGAGGACTTTTCAGATACCATCGCTAAAGACTGAGAGGTTCACGAGAGGAAGATAATGTTATGTTACATGTAATATATAAAATGAGCATATTGGAGCAACTAAACTAGTGACCTTTCAAAAAGGACAAATTAGATTTACATGCCTCAGAATATAATGTGGCTTAGTGCTTAAAGGATGACATATGACATATTCTCCTATTTCTAGTCTCATAGCAGTTTACTTGATTATTTCTAAATGAGCTACATAACTCATTTCTTCTTTAAACAACATAATTCAACCTAATATTCTCTGTAAACTAAATGTAGACCAGGGCTTGAGAATTTTAGCAAATGCTAAAGATATCTGAATGCTTGTCTAATGTTGCTTTAAAATAGTTTCAAGGATTGGACCGTGTTCGCTGGGAACACACACAATACAATCTGGTGCCAAATGTTCTCTGAACTTTGAGATAAGTAACATATGGAAGTACTCACTGTTGGTAACATACATACAACCATAGGAACTGCAATGGTGTAGTCTATTCTAGCTCCCAAATCTAAATGCTTTTCTCTAAGTTCAGATTTAAAAACATGTTTTTTTAAAATAGAATTTTTAAATTTATGTTATGAAACTGTTTTCTTAATTTTTCTTCCAGCTTTCTAAGTATTTTTAAATTAATATCTTCTTACTAACCCCCTGGGTTTGTAAATAATAATAGTAAGAACATAAGTAATTATTGTAAATAGCAGTAAAAACACCGATAAACCACCTCATCATAATTGACAACACCACTTACCATGTGCAAAATTAATTATACTGAGAGTTTTCTTCCTGTCTCCTGTATCTTCTTTTTGTAATTTAGTTTGGAGAAGGAGATAGAATCTGTTATATAATACCAGATAAACACTGCCGCTGGGGGAAAAAAATAAAGTTAATTTTTAAAAGGCCTCTGGAATTAATTTTTATCACCTTTTTTAAATTGCAGCATAATAATGAAATAGGCAAATGCTTTAGTCATGTAAGTTAGTTTTCTCAGGCGACAGCTTTCTTTCCTGTGGGGCCGGTAGCGATGCAGGCATGCAAGGAATGATGGCTTTGGATCCACGTTTCCTTCAGTTTTGTGACATGTCTCTGGAACTGCTCCCGGCTCCCCTGACCAGAATATCCTGACAGCTACGAGTTGGAGGAACTAGTTTTCTCTCTGGTGCCTGTCCTGGCAGAGATAGAAAATTAATCTTGCTCTTGAGGAAGATGGAGTTGTTTGTCACACATTCCAGAGCTCTCAAACACAGCGTGT